CATAGGTGTACAGTAGTCGTTAGCGACGGTGGGCATTTCAGGGGGGGGGCTTCCAACCATCGTTCAGACGGGAAGGCGAGACAACTGGTGGAAAGCGGGCTTGCGCCAAAACTAGCCCCTCGACACGCCCCATTGTCTGTAGCGAAAAGAGCTTCACGCGACTGCCTGATAGAAGGACCTGTTTCTGATCCCCAGCAATCCTTCTCTTTCAGGAGGTCGTCCGAATTCCACTTTACTTCATCGCGCCGACGACGACATTCGATGTGAAGATTTGTGTGAAGGACTCTTATGAATACAGTACATCCGCGCAAGAAATGGCTATACTCAGCGTGTCGAACACGGCACTTGGCGTCGACATTGTCAGAAGCAATCTGCCGCTGAACAGTAGGTCTTCTCAGTTATACGTCAACATGTAAGCTAGCTAATTACCTTGTTTTCAGAAGATTTCGCGTCTTTTCCGCTCAGCGAAGGATTCTATCAAATCACAGCCAAGGCGCCCAATCATCGCACTGTCTCTAAAGTCGTGCATGTGAGTGTTCCTTCCACTAAAGGCGTCACTCTCGAAGAAGACATCCTTTAATTTATTTTGATATTATTTTTAATTTTTCTTCAGATCAGCCCGGCGAACACATCGTTTTGTGTGGTTATGCAAGCTATCGATCCTCGTTCTCTTCTGACTATCAGTGAGAGTGGAGTGGACGTGATGGAAGTCAAAGCGACAAATTTGGTATTCCTTTTGGGCATTCAGTTGACACTCCATAATCAGGAACAGATCTACAGAATCCGTAGGCGCCGCCAGGACTAGGGAGGGGGTTGCACTTTCTCTGGTTTCCTTTGTTAATTCCTGTGAAATAACAAGTCTCACTTCTATCAACAAATTCTGCTAGCTTTGACTGGTATCTTTCCATGGCTTCACGAGTTTTCACAAATGTCTACTTGATGGCTTGACACTACAACAAGAAGCAGCGAGTATGCGAAATGCCCCGCCCAGTCCCCTAGCCGACCTGAACCCGAGCTGATATTAGGTCGCACTTTTTAGCAACTATCAGCTAGAATCGTGGATCCTTTCTGAATGAATTTTCAGCAACAGTTTCAGATGCGTAATCCGTACGTTGCACTCGACCCACCATCGGTGAACCGATCAGTCAGTCGGATTCTTGCCACGGTCACAGGTTCAACTGCTGGTTTGATCTCAATAGACCCCGTCAGCATTGACGTTTTTACATTGGTAAGTCAGTCTTCGCAAATCGTGCCATTCAGTCAAGCCTTCTTCTGTGAATAACTGCTTTTCAGCCTTTTTTTCGTTTATTTTCACTGAGAGGAGTTGTGGTCTTGCCTTAGTACAATCATGAATTCAAAAAATGGAAAAAAAATAACGAAACTTAACAAATTATGCAGCTGCGAACGCTGAAAGGGTAAGATGCTCAAAGGCATGTTCCATCTTCATTCGGTGTGCGAACGCCGTGCCTAGATAAGTGATCCTCTCAGTAAGCGGAGACTATGTACTACTTTTGTGGCAAAAAATACACATGACTACGCCATCTGGTCTTGACGAAGGCAACAACCCACCCAATGCCTCAGACCACATCCAAAGTTCATTCTGGAAATTGGTACGGTTGAATCCCTACTATTTGTACACTTTTTTCGTGGATCCTGGTCCTTGCCATGTGCGAATGAGTCCGCAACTGCAACAGTACCTCTTTCTCTTGTCCAGGGTTATAAGTACGCGAAAGCTGTCTGCTGACTCTGCCTGCGCTATCTTCAAGTGCAGCACTTGTGTCGATACCAAGGTCTCGCAGCGAAACAAACAGCGAAAAAGAGCAAGCAGAAGTGAGAGGGCGCAGACAAGTAACGCGTTCGGCCACGGTTAGGTGTGTGGATGGCTGTGCGGCAGCGCGGGCGGAATGTGGAGGCGGCTCCTGGGTATCACGACCTCCCACCTCTGTTCTCGTGCTTTTTTGAACCGAGAAGGTGGCGTGCTGCTGCAGCTGCGGACCGTTTATATATGACGAGGGCATGTCAAATGCAGGTGTGTGCATTGTTTGTCCTCGAGACGACAATCCCAAGTCAGTCGGTGATTCCCCACTCTACCCCATAAACTCCGTCGAATAAAGGAGGATTGATCCATGTGGATCGACTATCGCGCTACCCGGCAGTACTTCGCCGAAGCTC